CACACACATACACACACACACACACAAACGCGCGCGCGCGTGCGCGCACACAAACTCACACGTTAACACAACTTTTTGTTATAAATATTACTGATACTGCTATCTTTCTACTTAACTTTTTTCTATTTGCCCGATCTGTAGGCAGAAATATTATAATGTACCCCCCCCCCCTCCTTTCCCTTGTCCCCTCTTATATTTGCAGCATCAATCATGTCCTGTAGTCTCAGCGCCGCCCGACTCCGCCGTGTTGGAGTGTCCTGCCTCCAAGACACCATCAAGAACCTCTACAACATCCAGACAAAAATCTTGTGTCGGGATCTGGCCTTCAAGTCGGAATCCGAGCTCCCTTCGTACCAGATCACTAACCTAAGCGAGGTCTCAGAGAAACTGGCGAAACAGCTTGCCTTCATCTTCCCCAATACAGATGGAGAAGAGTACAAAGCTTTCCTCAACCTGGGTAATAAGGTGGTGCACAGTGCCAGCGGGAAAACCATACTGGACAGCTTGAAGAAAATCTACACCAAGGCTTGGGAGATTGTAAAGGGATGGGATGCAAGCGATGAGCTCTTTGTGGGAGTCATCCCAAAGCCGAGAGAGGAGAGTTACTGCACCACGGAGTTTGACGAGGTATCCCATAAGACGTACCTACACTGGGAGACAGACGGGTTGGGAGACGACTTTTTGGGCGCTGTCAGCCGCATGCTGAGGAAGGTGAGAGACGAGAAAAGACAGCCCACTCCCGAAGAGTATCTGGCGCAGCATTTGGCTTACATAGAGATCCAGAAGGGGAAATGGGGACGTCACGAACAGATCCGTGGTCTGGGCACACCTGGCTTCCGGCCTCACACGCAGACCTACATGTCGCTGACCGACCCCGGAGAAGGTCACGTGATGGGAACCACCAGATTCAACGAATGGATGGAAGGCGCTATTGTCCACGTGGAACATCTTGAGCGACCCCGCCACTTGCCAAGAGAGAACATCGAGTCATACCGTGTTCCGTCCGTGCTGGACTTTTCCCATGTGCGACTTCACGTCGGCTCCACCGCACCTACCACTTACTTCTTGGGGAGAGCCGTCAAGGATTCTGGGAACTTTGACGAAGATTTCCTGAAGATTGTCCACATTACTGCTGCTGCTGCTTCTGCTGCATTCTTCATGGGTGCAGCTGAGTGCAAGATTGCCATGGAGCGACTTACAACCTCCCAGGCCATTCGCTACATGCACGCACTCAGAGCTCAAGTCCAGCACTCAAGAAAGCAAATCTTGTCTGCGGCCTGGAATCTGAACCAAACCCTGACAGACGACTTTGAGCAAGAAGATGCACAGAAACTCACGGAACGTATGGACATCGCCCTCACAGCTGTCAAAATCACATCTCTCGGTGGTTTCGACAAGGTCACATGGGATGGGGCTAGTGACTCCTACCCGTCCAAATGTATCATGTACCAGCTGACCTTCCAGGAGGCGTTGACCATCGTCCATGAAGCTCACATCAAGGGGCTGGTCACATATTTCTCCGCTGGCTTCAAGTTCAACGAAATCCAGCACGCCGTCTATGCTGGTGTGGATGGTATTGGCATTGGCGGTGCCCAAGTTCTGCGCTTCATGGACAGCGAGACAGGCATGCACGGGCCTTACACAGAGGAGAACATCCCCATCATCTTACAGAAACGCGACGAAGCTGCCCAGTCTGTGAGAGGACGTGGCGTGGACCTCCTCGTCAAGTTGGACACTATGTTCTTCGAGGGCTCCATCTCTCGTCCCGTCGAGTATCTGAGACAGAAGCTGTTCAAAGCCCTTCTCGATATCAACGAAGAAGCCATCTCTGAAATCCTTGAGCAGCTGAAGCACGTATCCACCGCATGCCGTGAGGCCAACATGCCCTTCCTGCACCGCGCCAAGCGCATTGTGGAAGCGGAGCAGCCGAGGCTGAAAGAGTTCTGCTCTGAGGAAGAGTGGGAAAACCTGGTGCGAGTCCTCAAGTGCCAGATCGTGGCGCGAGACGAGCGCTCCCTGGTGGAAGAGTACGAAAGCGACCCCTGGCTGTCCATCCGACACCGTTACCGCCAGAACCAGTGCCCGAGAGACGCCAGGATCTGCTACGTTCGGCAATCTTCCTTCAACATCCCTTTCAAGTGCTAGAGACTTTGAACAAACCAGTTTCCAGAACAAACAACGATAACAAGCGAAAGTAAAGGACAGCAGGGGAAAAAACGAACCACAAGACATTTTTAACAAGTGGGTATAAGTTCGAAAATGCAATATTTCTTACTTGTATCATTACGCAGGTTTTTTTTTTCTTTTAAGCTACCTTTATCCTTTTCGTTGAGCCGATAAGAAGAATATAAAAGTATTTCATTTTATGAAACAGGGTTTAAGAGGCCAGGTCTCCTTTTCATGTCACAGAAAATCCTCCATCTTTAAAATTCTCACCACTATCACCAGAACCCATCGCTCCACCCTTAATTCATGCCGTTTTACTCTAGTAAAATGTATGAATTAGAAGCTCATTGAAGTAACAGTGCTTACATGTTCATAAAATATTTTGTTGAAAGATTGTTTTTTTTTTGACATTGTATATTCTGATGTTGGAGAACGCCCGAGATTCTCTTTTTGTTTACAAATGATTAAAGGATGGCTGAATGAATGCATGAATGAATGAACGAATGAATGAATGAATGAATGAATGAATGAATGAATGAATGAATGAATGAATGAATGATCAGCATACCCAGAATTCTCATTCCTTGTCAATATGGTATGCCGGTACCAATGCAATCTTGACATCAAAGAGTGAATGCGTTTTAATTGCTTTTATCGAGATAGTGATTTCTTCTTTTTATTTGTTCGTCATATTACGTAACGTTTGTTGCTGAAAACTACCTTTGGTGATAATGCACCAAAATATCTGATTTAGCCGCTGTGTTATTGCATTTCTGTGAGTTGACTCGTTATCCCCCCCCCCCTCCAAAAACACCAAGTAATGGACACACATACACATACATACACACACACACACACACACACACACACACACACACACACACACACACACACACACACACACACACATACATACACACACGTGTGTATCTAT